AAAAAAAAAAGCAAAAAACTTGCACAGCAGTGAGGTATTAAATATAATTACAGTATGTATTAAATATAATTATAATGGGTATTAAATATAATTATAGTAGGGTATTAAGTGTAATTATTTATTCTTATAACAAAAAAATTATAAAAGACAGAAGAGCAGTGGGAATTAAATGTAATTATAGTGGGATATTAAATATAATTATAGTGAGTATTAAATGTAATTACAGTGGGTATTAAATGTAATTATAATGGGGTATTAAATGTAATTATTCATAATAAACCAAATATATCACTGTTTTGTCGAAACGGTCCGAAACAATGCCGTTTCGACCAAAACGGTCCGAAACAGTACCGTTTCAACCGAAACACTGGAATTTTGTGATTCAACTACTGTTTCGTTTTGGAGTGTTGAAATTCCGAAACGTTTCGGACGTTTCGGATGTGTCGACACGACATTTTGATCCTTGAGTCTAACTCGATGTTACAAGGAGTTGGTACGTGCTACAAGTACGACTACACGGTACAATTTTTTCTCCAATACGCAATGCAACAGAGGTAGACTTAGTTCACACGTTGTTTTGGTTCACAATCATTTGGGAACATTTTACTTGGATCACCCCCTCTACTACTTCAAATCATGTATAATTATGCATCTACACCCACAAATTCAATTAATATTTATCATATTTACAACAAAAGTTTGAAAGCCAATCATAATCCAAAAACTTGTCAGCTAATGGTTGTGACCGACAAAACTAATAATTGCATTTTGTATTAAAAAAATTTAATCAAAACAAATAATATAGAAGTTTGAAAATCATCAAAATACCAATAACAATCACAATTTGGGGTCGAGAATTTGGATAATCTAGGTCGCCAACCCATCCCATTTGGGTCGTGTGAACTAGTACCATGAGATGCATGCCTGGGCGGATCTAGTAAGGGACAGTCAATTGTTTTTCAAAATTTTTTGATATGTATCGAGATATATGAATTTAAACATTATTCAAATATATTTTGTGGTGCCCACCATATCACTTTTATCTTAAGATGGTATTTTATGAGAACATGAGTTGTGATTGATCTATAAATACATATTTGGTTAGTTTTATAGTTTCTGAATTTTCTTCAATCTTTGACTGTGAATACATATTATGAGGCTTTTGGATTTACGTTCTCAATTTAAAAATGAAATTTTTTAAAGATTAGTCTACAATTAGTCTTTGTTTTCCTACGACTTGCGGTCTTTATTTTTCTACAACTTACTATTTCTATTTTTCCACAACTTACCCGTTGTTGTTAGATAAATTAAAAGCTAAGATTGTAAAAATTTGATTGTATAACCGAATGGATATCAAAGGATAATGACTGATAACTTGATTATATATAGGAAAAGATTTTTTTTTATGACACCAACAATGAAATTATTGTACAATGCTTTAAAATATAAAAAATCTGGTCAATTGCAATTTTTTTGCAAAAGGTTGTAATTAGTCTTTTTTTTCTGTAAATGATCGACTTTTGGTTCTTTTGTGTTCAATGAATTTTTATGTATCTAATATGATGTAATAGGTATAATAATATTATTTTACTTTTGTCAATAGGAAGAAAAATATTAAACCTTGTCGTTAAAGTGCCCACCTAGAAAAAAAATTCTGGCTCCATCCCTGCATGCATAGGTTGATTGCGTCCCGTATCCTTGGTCTAACCCAACTACACCAACTAATGTGAACCAAAAACATAAAAAGAGTCAGAATAAGTCCCAACTACTACGACACATTCCATAACATTCTTGCAATTATAGATATGTTCCTGACTCCTATAAACATTATAAACCTGTATAAGATTGAATCAGAAGAATAAAAGTCAAATAAAACATAAATACAACTTTGCATAAGACTCGGTACTAAATCATGCAAGATCCCATCCAGGGGCAGCATCATCCAACACATGCCAAATCAGGGCTTGGGCTTTGGAAGCATCCTTCCCACGCCACTTGTAAACATCTATAGAAAGCTGCCACTTATTATCATCGGCTATTCAATGCCACATTCAATTTAAACCTGTTAACTGGTACAATTTATTGTCCAACTTTGTAATACTCATAAAATTCTGGGGTACTTCACAATCAAAATAAACAACCCAAAATCCAATTCATATGAATAATTTACACCAGTGAAACTTAAACAAATAAACCTAGGATATAAACTGCAAAAATCAGGTAGCCCAGAATTCAGCAAACTGGGAAAGACAACCCAAACCACATAAACCAAGGCAAAGAAATGGTCGAACTTGAGGATTTAAAATGACTAAAATGTATGGCGAAGTTATAATAACTATCACATGAACCAAACTAGATATGTAGACCAAGAATGAAGTAGCATCAAAGAAACATACACACAAAATTGAAAATACAGTTCACCTTCCCAAGAAAGTGTTCTAATTAAAGTGCTTCTATTAGTCTAAGGTGAAAACATGATTTCTCATAGAAAATAGATGCCCAAGTAGAAAAGCCAAAATATATTTAATGATTTGATCAATCACCTTCAGCTCATTATATGCAGCATAGTACTGCGGATACCTTGCCCTGGGTCCTCCCAAGGCTTCTTGCCATGTATCTATCAAAATTAAAATCTTCTCCCTTATATTCAAATCTGGCTGCACAAATTAAAATTAAAAAATTAGAGTACAGGAAATATTAGTATCACAATGGGAAAAAGAATCATGAAAGAATATAATTGGCACCTTCTTCTTCACAATTTTGACCATTTCATGTAGGATGTCCCGCTCGACAAACTGCTGAAACACATTCTCCCCACAATTTTTGCTAAGAGTCTCCAACACCTAAATCAGAGATTTCATTACGTTCGAATATGGTTGCATTATTTGTGTCTAGGATGCTTATTGTTGTGTCCCCACAAATTAGCAACACATCCATCCAGTAAGTGGCCACATGCATAACTCATATGCTAAAAGCTGAAACAAAGTAATATCTAGTCTGGAGTTTTGATTTTGCTACTGCAACCAAGTTATGTTGGCTTATCTTAAACTGACCGACACTCAATATTGCAAAGCCGAAATATTGCGTACATTCATGAAAGCACATACGGACTTTATGAGCAGGTTCCAAAAGTTTGCTACCTCTAGTCACTGTTCTTTTAATTCACAAATAATCACTGCAATGAAATGTCCTACTATGACTATAATTGTGCCAGAATTTCTCCAATATACGTATTGAAACAGTTATGGTGGTTGAACACTTGGTAACTCTGGCACATGCCAATTAATAGACTAGTCTGCCTTCATCGCAACAGAAATAAAATATGGAAACCATGTTTGTTTGAATGTTTTCGTACACTATAAAACGTATAGATATTGAAATAAACAATAGAAAAGGAACTATATCACGAAAATAAAGGAAATGAAAATACTGACAAAGAGAGCAAGGAGCTGTATTTTAGGATTTTTACTCCCAAGACGCTTCTTGAGTATCTTCAGGGCATCCTTTGCTTGCCTGCAATTTTTATCCAATCCAATGGCAGAAAAGGAATAAAATCAAATTCAGTTCACTTATCATTATCAATTTAACACGGTAAGGAAATAAGGGAGGAATCAAAACTTAAAATATCCAAATTTAGAAAGCATAAAACTGGTTCTGAAGTAGAAAACGATGTGGAGCAAAACCACAAAAAGTAACAGCTTCAGGATATCATACCATTGATGGTCGAAAAAGGATCATACCATTTACAATTACCAAGCACTTGAGGTTGAGGGGATGCCCATAAATATTTTTGGTAAAAGAACAGGATTCAAAGCTTTCAATTCCATTTCGAATTCATTAGGAAAAGACTCCTCAACACAGAGATAAAAGAATAGAATGCACTTGCCCCAAAAAGCTGGTGAATGGACCTTGTTATGGAGCACACACAATCAAAACATGCATACTCATAGTGTAGAGAATAGACAGTTACAGGTACAAACTTAAAGTTATTTCAAAACTTAGGTAGCAAACCACCATAAGTCAGCTACAACTATCAACACATGATAGTAATTAGTTGATACGCGTAGCACGCATGCTCATGCCTTATAGTGTATATTTACACACAAGAAAAAGGTGAAACATCCATAGTTGTCAAATCGTGTATCGGAAGGCGTATCGTTTTTTTAAAAAAGTGTATCGTATCGTGTCGTGTATCGTAAGATACGCGCAATTTTAATTTTTAAATAATTATTAATAAATTATATGTATATACCTTTGTAAAAAAAGTCATAAACTCATAATAACATAGCATTTCATTAATATTCCATCAACTATTCAGGTTCTCAACATAGTTCAGTAATATTAAAATGCAAAAACCTCTAATTCAAACTTTTAACATCAACTACTTGAACAACTTTAATATTAATCAGGAATTTTGAATTCAATTGAACAACATTCACAACAGACTTTATTTTTTTTTTAATTCATAACCACTGAAATGACGTTATTTCATTAGCTAGTGATTTAAAAATAAGTGTTGGGGTAAAACGATATCATTTCAACTCCAAAAAACCAAAAAAAAAAAAAAATACAGAATCTTCACATATCGGGCGTATCGTATGTATCGTATCGTGTATCGTACAATATGGTGCAGAAACGATATAGAGATATGATATGTATCGTTTTTAAGGTATATCGTGACGTATCGTACGATACTAATGACTATGGAAACATCACAACATATAATGAAGAAATTTATCAAAGAGTAGGCACAGCAAAAGGCAAAAAAAAAAAAAAGCTTAGGGAACACTACTAGAAGGTAAGTACAAATTAAAAGCCTGTGAAGTTCATCCTTGCCAGCAATTGAAGAACCATCAAACACTATAGGCATTATAAGTTGTTGCAAGGTGCTAACAGGGGAACAAAATATTTAGTTTCTACCATAAAAAGACTGGTTTCAGAGAATGTAGATACCATACCAAGTATCACCTATAAATTAAAAATTCAACCTAGTTTTAGCAATATGCAAAATGGTATGGCAGCAATATCATCTCACAACCACAGGCATGCTTATCACTTCCATTTTTCTCACATTTCACGTCTACCCCTTCTTCCTCTTCCAACTTTCTGAAACGCTATATGCACAATACTCTTCTATTGTTCTTCACTCATTTAATGTAAATTTATTCTTTCAAACAAAGATATGAACCACATTCCTTGTGAATATTCAATCGAATTAAAATATTCACTCCCTAAATCACTTTTTTCGCAGGTTCTGTACTTTTAGGATATGCTTCAAACCCATCTTAACCTTCGGTTCCAAGGAAAATTTGTGGCTCATAATTTTCAGATTTTGTTTTGCAAACCCTCCTTAATTGGGGATGCTTAGTAAGTGAATCAAATTTATCCACTGAATTCTGTCCAGGGAAGTACATGATCATAGCTTTCTTGCTAACTGGAAAGCTATTATCCCTGCTAACAATAGAACTTGGAGGGATGGACAAGAGAAAGAATCAACATTGACATAATACATGAAGTGTCTGCCATATACTTGAACTTGTACACTCATGCTTCATATGCCAAGCACTTCACCATTGAACTAAGCAATAGCCTTTATTTTACTATTTAATTGAAGTTCATTGTGGTTAGCCGACCCAGAATAGTTCGGATTAGGGCTTTGTTGAGTTGAGTTGAGTAGAATTAAAGTTCATTTTGGTCTGCCCCTACCCAAATCTTACCATTAAAGGTGATTGAGTCAATCTTCCGAACTGGTGTAATTATTGATCCTCATGACAGATAACCAAACCATCTTTGTGGATTATATCGTAATTTATTTACAATTGGTGCTACCTCTATTGCCTTAAAGTTTTAACACCTTATTCATCTTTTTGCCTAATAAACATCCGCAAAACCCATATGAGATACAAAAGAATATGCAATTCTTTTTTTCAAATTACATTGGCCAGAAGATGTTAAAGCTGTATAGATTATTTGTATTGTGCCTACTGGGGGTTTGCTTTGTCATGTGGAATCCTCCATTTAATTGCAGGAGAAGATATCCTAGGGCCCTTCAGTTGCACTTATATTAATAGGTTATTTTTTGGTTGCTCTTCACTGAATCCCAAAGAGCTTTGGTGTATAAAACCTGTCTTTATCCTTCATCAAAATACATAGATTACGCAACATGCCAAAAGTTCTTGTCATACAAACATCGTCATCTCAATCTCTCTCTTCACATAATAATCAGGCCAAAGTAATGATATAGCTCACTCTTTATCAAACCTAAAAGTTGTTTAGCACATATTGATTTCAATATTTCACATAACAATCAATGATGAATAATTGTACAAGAAAAATAAAAATACCCAGGATTCATGTTGATTATATCGCATAGCTGGATGTTTATTTCCCAATCTGGAGCATTCAGCATATCACTTGTGGCCCTCTCAGCACAAGCTGCTGCATCATTAGCCATATCTGTCTACTGTCTATCCCTCCTCCAAAGTACCCCACCTTTGATCCTGCTAAAAATCACAAATACACCACCACGTTCTCCAATTCAAACATTCGCACCACACTGAAGTAAAAACACAAAGATACACAAATACAGATACACACACAATTGAATCAGAGCAATAACCCATCAGGCAATTGAGAAACAAGCAGAAATAAACTCTCGGAATATGATCAGAATCACAATTAAAATTAATCGAACTAAAATTCATGAACACAAACCAAAACCAAACAAGAATGAGAGAAGCACAAAATATGAATCACCAGAATCATTATTAAAACTAATCACACTCCAATTCAAGAATACGAACCAAAACCCAACAAGAATTAAAGCTTCAAAATCCAAAAATTAACTGAAAATAACAACAACAACAACAACAACAACAACAACAACAAAACCCAGTAATTGACCGCCGAGGATTATGTTTTTACACCAACAAATTCCACAAGCAGCTTGAACCTCAAAAACCCAGTTCAGATAAAGATCAAAAAATGGAAGAATCTAGGAGAGACCAACCTAAGAAGAATAAGTCAGGATCCTTGGAAGATTACCTGTCAGAACGCCCACAGTCTAGTCCGAGAGAGAAAGTATACAGATATAACAATGCAGAGAGAGAAAACAAAGACAGGTATGTAAAGGGTCGAGTGGTTTTTCACTTTTTTCTTTGGGTGGTGGTCTGTCTTTGGTACATTTGGCACTTTTCTCTTTGCGTCAGCCTTTTGACATGTAATTCAATTGTCTTAATTAAGATTGCAACCTTAATAATCGACCAATCTTTTGACTTCAGCTGCTCCTGTAAGCATTAATCACTTTTCCAATTGTTTGACTTTTTGTTCTTGATTTGTGGGTAAATTGTGTGATTCGTAAGCGCGTTTTGAACGCCCACCCACCACTCTCTGACTCCAAGGGCCCTTGGCTTCTTGTGTGGAACACTTGATGTTGCTTGGCATTGACCAATTGGAGGGTCTGTCATCGGCTCAGACCACTAGATTCATCTAGAAAGTCACTTCTCCGAATCTCGTACGATGCAAATGTGACATCAAACCTGGATGAATCCGATGATGAATAGAAGAATTATGCCCTATTGCTTATTCTCAACCAAAATACACACTAGCTTTGTTATTGCGTAATCTGACAAAAAAAAAGTCAAAAATATCTGATTTTTTCCAGTATTTTCATGCGTCAAACTTATAAAAATATTGATAATTCTTAACCTCAACTCACTAATCAAATAAACAATTGATAATTCTTAACCTCAACTCACTAATCAAATAAACAATCAACAAGACATCGTCAAAAATTAGATTAGTTCTAATAGGTTTTGGTCACTAATGTCTTATCCTTATCGACCCTAGTAACAAATGGGACAACATGAGCCTGTCTAGACACCTCACGAAGCCGATTATACATAACTTATACACGACATAAGCAATACAAATATTAATAAGGATCGAATCAATTTTGACATGATATGACTTATATATACTATATTTAATATAAATTCAATAGGAAATTTATCTTACTGCTCTGTGAAAGCCCATTCTGACATGCAGTCCAAGAGGATTTGAAAGTATATTTTAGTTTTTTTTTTTTTAACTTTTGAAAATTTTTAATTATTGTCAAGTTTCAACAAATAGGGACCTTTTCCAAAACTTAAACTTTTATATAATTTATCAATCTTTTTAAAACTAGGGTTAATAGCATTTTTTATTTCTAAAGTATGCACATTTTATCAATTTGGTTCTTAAAGTATTGATTTTGCTAATTAAGTTCTTAATGTATATAATTTGTGTTTAAATGACCCCTACATTGACAGATTATTAAGTTTTTGACGGAATGACCATGTGTTTGGTACGTGATACAGTCTGAAAGAATAATATATGATCATTTCGGTCAAAAAACTTAAAGAATTGTTTGATTAGGAATCAAAATGACATGAATTAAAACTTTAGAGATTAAATTATCAAAATAAATATAATGAGAATTAAATTGATAAAACGGACATATTTTAGGGGCTAAAAATGGTATTAATCCTTCAAACTATCTCTCAATTTTTGGAGAATAGGTGAATCTCAAAAATTATGATAATTCGATTAATGAAATAAAAAGGCAGTCGTTCTCTTGAAGCATTAATTTGATTATATCATTAAAAAAAAGGGTAATTATGTGAATGACATTTACGACAAGGAGGCTCATATCATATTTTTTTAATTTTTATCTAATAAAAATGTGTTCCGTTTAAAGATTTCACACTTCATTATTCTTTTTTACTTTATCACTTTTTTCAATTAGCAATCGTAAATAATTCAACTCAAAATTAATGGTTGAAATGAATCATGGTATGATACTAACATCGGTATCATAGCCTTATCCATTCACAATATGTCATTACACATAATATATGATTATCACCTATGCTCTTCTCATAATGAACTTATCCAATGTTAGTGTGTTCATTACGTCTCACTTTGATTCTCGTTTTTTTCACTTGTGCCACTCTAAACCCTAAAGTTTTCAATTATGTTTAAAGTAAGGAGTAACATGTACTTAAAGGTATGGTGCAATGTGAATGGTTTTGAGATGGATATTGTTGGCCATTGAATGAGTTTATTTGATATCGTCGAATAAACTTATTGAAACATATCATGTTTTATATTGTAAAATGTCAAATCAATTATGGACATTTAAATAAGGAACGAAATATGTGTACTTTTAAGGATTAAAATATACACAAAATATCACTTTAGCTTCTTAATCACGTATTTGTCAATTACATCCCTATTTTTAAAAAAAAAATACCAAGTGCACTTCAATTTAAACACACATCACCAATTAAAGTATTAGATAATTGAAAACTTTTTGAGGGGGGTAATTGGCAAATGTGACATTTCTCAGATTATTTAATGACACACAAGTCTACTTAGTGTAATGTAATACGGCATAATTAAAAAAAAAAAAGGGACCAACCAAAGCGAGACATGACGTAAACTTGAAGGGCAAAAAATAGTTTTAATAAAAAAATTTAATAAGTCTTCCGTTTCTATTACAAGATCATTACTAATGGAATCCAAATGATTTCTGAATTGCTCAGAAAATCCTTCAATTGATTAAAATCTATTACTTGAATGAAACTAGATTTTGTGGAATTATATTAAATATTTGACAATACACTCCGTACCCTAATAAACAATCGATCTTTGTTTACCTTTCTCAACTATACATTGTCTAACCAAGTTAAATTATCTCTTGATACGTTCCCCAAAATATCTAATTGGGACAGATTCTTTTCCCAAGAGATCTTTGCGGAATTGTCACATATGAAATATTAAAGCAATTAGGTGTTACTTCAAAAATAATGTTGTGAATTAGTTCAAGACTATATACTTACCACAATTTTGCACCTTTTCATAGGAATATCAGATAGACTTTCTCTTCTAATTTTAAAATCAATTTCATTTTTTTTTTCTAATAACAAATACTATGTAGGGTGATTTCCAAACAATTTAACCATTTTGCACCAAATTGTTGTGTTGTCCGTCAAAATTTTCGACATTGTTAGTTCTTAATTATTTTAGAGTAACTTATAATTTATACCTTTTAAGTATGCAAATAATTTTTATTTGGTCCCTAAATTTTCAATTGATACAATTACATCTTTAAAGTTCTAACCAAATTTCAATCCAGCCATTCCATCCATATATTATTCATTTGTTCTGACAAAAAGAACTCACATGTCTTGCCCATAAAGATATATTTTTCCAAGAAAAAACTCTCATATATACATTAATATTTCTCTATTTGTCTCACAATATCTCTCACAACCTCACTCTAAATATTATTTTTTTCGGGTTTATTATCTTCTTCTTTTTCTCAAAATTAAATGANTAAAAAAAAATACCAAGTGCACTTCAATTTAAACACACATCACCAATTAAAGTATTAGATAATTGAAAACTTTTTGAGGGGGGTAATTGGCAAATGTGACATTTCTCAGATTATTTANTTTTTTTTTTCTTCTTAATCTAATCGAAAACTTTTCCAATCACATGCTACTTGGGCTCGAGGTTGCTATCCGAATGCGTATAATTACTTGTAAATTATGTATATCAAGTTAATTAAAATATTTTTTAGGAGAATTAATCTTAAGAACTTGAGGAAATTAACCTCTAGGACCTTGCATTTTNTTAAATTAAAGCTCAATAAAATCTCTAAGATTTTGATTATTGTAATTAGAAATTCAAACACCAAATAAGAATCGGGTGCATTCTTTAAGAGCGTAAATTATAACTTATCTTTCTTTTTAATGTTCAATTATGTATCTAACATATTCTCGAGAAAATATGTGAGAATAAGATTCACAAGCTCTTGGCCTTTTAACCAAATTTTGAATTAATTACTGGTGCAAAGTACAATTTTTACCTTACAAATTTTAAATATGTAATTTCAAAGTTATACCAAAAAGCTGCAACTTTAGAAAGAATTTATACACCAGGACTTGTAGTTGTGGGTCACAATCGAGCAACCGTGGCAAAACAGGTGCAACATGTGAAACACTGCGTACAACTGCCGGTGAGAATTTAATAAGTTTGTTATCTTTGATGATACATGATATTTTTCTATTCCAATAAAAAAAAAGTATAATTTAATAATATTTTTTAATACAAAAATAGAGGCATTGCAAGTTTTTTTTTCTTCTTAATCTAATCGAAAACTTTTCCAATCACATGCTACTTGGGCTCGAGGTTGCTATCCGAATGCGTATAATTACTTGTAAATTATGTATATCAAGTTAATTAAAATATTTTTTAGGAGAATTAATCTTAAGAACTTGAGGAAATTAACCTCTAGGACCTTGCATTTTATTACCCAGATAGGTTTACAAATGTTTCTCGGTATTACAAAAAATGAAAAAAAAAATGTAAATTTCTTATTTTCACAACACTATCTTTTTTTTTTCTTTTTTTTTTTATTTTTTGGGGAGGGAGAGGGGTTTTGAACCCTTGACCTAAGTTTTTACAATATAAAGAGTACCATTCGATCAAAAATCCNTGTTTTTAATGTTCAATTATGTATCTAACATATTCTCGAGAAAATATGTGAGAATAAGATTCACAAGCTCTTGGCCTTTTAACCAAATTTTGAATTAATTACTGGTGCAAAGTACAATTTTTACCTTACAAATTTTAAATATGTAATTTCAAAGTTATACCAAAAAGCCGCAACTTTAGAAAGAATTTATACACCAGGACTTGTAGTTGTGGGTCACAATCGAGCAACCGTGGCAAAACAGGTGCAACATGTGAAACACTGCGTACAACTGCCGGTGAGAATTTAATAAGTTTGTTATCTTTGATGATACATGATATTTTTCTATTCTAATAAAAAAAAAGTAAAATTTAATAATATTTTTTAATACAAAAATAGAGGCATTGCAAGTTTTTTTTTTTTCTTCTTAATCTAATCGAAAACTTTTCCAATCACATGCTACTTGGGCTCGAGGTTGCTATCCGAATGCGTATAATTACTTGTAAATTATGTATATCAAGTTAATTAAAATATTTTTTAGGAGAATTAATCTTAAGAACTTGAGGAAATTAACCTCTAGGACCTTGCATTTTATTACCCAGATAGGTTTACAAATGTTTCTCGGTATTACAAAAAATGAAAAAAAAATGTAAATTTCTTATTTTCACAACACTATCTTTTTTTTTTCTTTTTTTCTTTTTTTTTTCCCTTGACCTAAGTTTTTACAATATAAAGAGTACCATTCGATCAAAAATCCATCGGTATTCACAACACTATCTTGGAGTCCAAGCAAAAGAGAAATGTTTGTAACATATTAACATTGTTTTTTATGATTGTATTGATAAATTCATAAATCTATAAATTTTGGATAAAGTAGAAAAGACAAGTTACATCATTTGGTCCTTATTATTTATTTATTTATTTTTTTCAACGTCAGTATTGTCATGTNAAATCTATAAATTTTGGATAAAGTAGAAAAGACAAGTTACATCATTTGGTCCTTATTTTTTATTTATTTTTTTTTCCAACGTCAG